GTATAGGGTGGAAACCTCGCTGCAGCAACCAAAGGAAAGGCAACAAAAGAGTTAGGGCAAGGCTCAATCCTCGCCCCATGTTCCGGCTTGGGTGAGAGTTGGCCTTGATCAGGATGTGTGGAGAGATCGCTATTTGTGTGGAGCTTGCATTAATTGTCACTTGTATGGGCATCAGCAGTTTAAGTGCAAGAACGCTAAGGTTTCTCAGAACGTCCCACCCTTGATGGGTGCTGGCGGATTTTTCCGCCCAGGGTGGTGCGTCTACGAGCACATCCCAGGGAAACACGTCAGGCCAATATAGGTTATAGCTGCTTCTGCTAATGCTGAAGTGCAAGATGTTCCCTCACCACTTCAGGAATTGGCCGAAGCTACCGACTCACTTGTCGCCCCAAAGATGCATCTAGGCCATACGATACTCTGTTCGTTAGATTTGTCTGGGGCCTTGGACTTAGAGAAGGAGTTGTCAGCAAGAGGCCCTCATCAGTCCTGGGTGGGTATGTCAAAAGGTCCTAGAGGGGAGCAGTTCATTGTAGAGGTCAGTGTAGGTGGCCGCAAGTGTGGCGCCTCCGTGGACAATGGCTCCACACGAAACTTCATAAGTCACGACTATGTTGAAAGGCTACGCTTAGGGCACCAGGGGCGGCGGCAAAGTAGATCTGTGGCTTCTGCTTTAGCCAACAAGGACCACATTGATGTTCATGACTACGTCAAGGACATGGTCTGCACCTCCTACGGAGGATGGGAACATAATCATAAGATTCCGTTCCTGGCTACGTGGCACCCTCGTCTGCGGAACCCGTGGCCTCATCCGCGGCCGAGGAGGCCAGCTGCAACCCTGCGGCCTTGTCCGCGCCACAGCCAGGCGGAGCTGCATGCCAAAGATCGGGGCGCGCTGTCGGAGGGCGTGGCGTTCCGGCCCTCTTCTGTGTACCAGGCACACCTCACTTGCGGCTCTCAAAGTCCGCGCGGTTCAGTATACGTCGGCAGCCGGCGACGAAATGGAGGATATCGCTCCGATACCAAATTGCAATGAACCAATGTTGGTCCCCGGTTGGACCGGGACCTCTCCACCAATCGGGAGCCTCCCGGTTGGATCCATCCTGGTTGGCTCCCTGTTCCCCCCAGTGCATTTTTACTGGGGGCGGGATTTACTTTTTTTTTCCAAGCCTGTCTTGCGGTTTTGGCCTCGCAGACCTCACCGGGGCAAGAGAAAATAAGAATCGGGGTTGGGGGGGCCCTCTTACCACAAAACAAAAAGCGGTCAATCTTGGTCACTGATCTTTGTTGATCGGCGGTCAAGATCGCCCGCAATTCAAACTTGGGGGCCGGTTCACATGGTGCGCACGGAAGACTACACCGCCCGCCCCCCCCGCTTCGAAGTTTGGACGTCTGAAGCCTCTAACCCGGCGCCACGCAACCCTGCCATGCCCGTTGTTCACTTCGAGACACGCTGTTGTGTGTTGCCGCCATGCGAACCCGCCATCGTCGTCGAGGGAGATGCCCGATCGTTAAGCCGTCGTGCGAGCCCGCCATCGTGAGAGAGAGAGAGAGAGAGAGAGAGAGAGAGAGAGAGAGAGAGAGAGAGAGAGAGAGAGAGAGAGAGAGAGAGAGCGGCGAGACTAACTCTCTTCTTCTT